TATATATATATATATATATATATATATGTATTCCCTAGATATATAAATGTATTGGATTTCTTGCAAAAGTATGATTTTTTTTTGTTGGAAAAATACCTGATTTACATCCAATGTACGTTCTTGGTTCATAAACCCTAGGTCTTGAATATTGACAACTAGATAATGTTTCTAGCGATCTTATACGTGTTTTTATTGAAGTTTCCTCTGTTTTAAGGAATTGTGGAACTATAGCTTATGGTACGTTTGGATTTTATCAAAAAGCATGATTTCAATCTCTTGTATGAGTGGGTGTGATAATGAACTTGAATACACTCGAACTCATATTGCAGAGTGTTCAGATATGTTTTTTATCTCGAGGGGTTTAAAAATTTTCTATCACTAGTAGTAGAGTGTTAATACCTTGCGGGGTTCCAAATTGTTATTTGTTCACGAGGATCAAGGCTGAGTTAGTATACTATTCTTAGAAAGATTTCATTAAATACTGATGCGTCACTATACACGCTTCCTAAAACGATGTGCCCGTGCAGGGACTAATTCAATGGTGGTGTTTGTGTCGATCTTATATATTCAATGTGTGAAAAATTGCTAATCATCCAGCATACATAAAATATTTATGCTATCAATTGTTTACTCTACAAATAATCTACTATATAATGAACTTTCTGTACATGTAGCGAATATCCTTAACACTGTCACTTATTTTATTTTAAAAGTTACATCTCTATTTTGGAAATTGAGATCTACCAACTTTTATACATTTTACAAATCTTGTTTAGGTTTGGAAAAGTTTCTTTACTGAGCTAATTGTGTGCGCCTTACATTTTTTTGATTCGGGTATCAAAGAGGATACATGCTTCGGTGAGAATACTGATTGAAATTTTGAAACGGGTCAGAATGTGGATTTGGATTTCGAGGCATAGAGATTGATTCTTTCATTTGAATTTCATGGTTTTGAGGATGTAATATTGTTTATGAAGGTTTTCCATTTAGTTAGTTGGGAGATATTTTCTATTATAGAGCTTTGGAATATAAACTTGGTTTACATAATTATACTTTGGGATTTATATTAGTTTCTTGATGTTGGATTTTGATTTCTTGAGGTAATGGATGATTATTATTAGAATTCTTTAATAGGTTAATTTTGAATTAAATGATTTCTATTTAGATCACAGTTGTTTATGAAAACGGGGCATGACACAAACGAACCCTTATTACTCTCAAGCGAGGTCAATTTAGAATGAGTTTAGAAATTCTACCATCTAAAGCTCGCTTAGCACTTGAACAGGGTGTTATAGGTCCAAGTATGATAAATCTAGCAAATGACACTCACTTCTAACAGTTTTTCAGGCCCTAATATTCCTGTTTTCTGCTTAACTCTTTCCAAACTCAGCATATTTTTCCAAATTATATATTGAGGACTTACACATATCCAAAGAAGGGAAGAAAACAACAAGAGAAGCAAAACCCAAGCCTTCTATTGTATGTTGAGAGCCTTGACTAACAACTAGGGATTTGATATAACACATACAACTAGTTATTGTTCTCAAGAAAAACACCCTAGTCAATATTAGAGCCCAGAGAGGGAATCCTCTAAAACCGCTCTAGTGGATTCTGTTCATGGTTCAATCTTGGTGGCTTCTGGAGACATTCAACAGCTGTGGATTTCAGCTGTGGAGCAAGTTCAGGATTCAATTCATGGTTGAGCACCGAGGATTCAATGAAGATATACATCAAGGCATCAAGGAGCAGTTGTGGATTCAAGAGTGGTTCAAGACAAGAGTGAAGCAGCAAATTTTGGGGAGCGTGGAATTTAGATAGTAGGTCTTCTAAGTAGAGTATCTAGTAAGAGTTCTAAGCTGATCTAGGGCCCATGGTTTTATATTTCCAATTAAACAAGCTACCTTAATATCTCCGGTATACAAATCGTAGGTGGCTGAAAAAATAATTTTATCTTTACATACTAATCTTGTCTAAGTATCTGTATTGCATATTGAAAACTGAATGTGGATATGCCAGAGTGAATTTTGTCGATTGAATCTGTGATTAGTGTGATTGGTCCTCGAATTTTAAAAAGAAGTATTCAACCCCTACATATTTATGGGTAGTTTGCCATTGATCTGACTACATATCCTTACCAACAAGCTGACAAGGCCCTACTAATCCTCGGAGATGCCCGGCCTTATTCTTAGGTATTTTACCAAGGCAAAACTCCTTCGATTTCCCTACTCAGATCTTCTCACCTAGAGTCTTTCCCAAGCGGAGACATATAATCACTACAGCGCATGCTGATGTTGAAGGACATGGTTAGGAAGCACCTTGAATGCCCCAAGCATCTGAAGACTAGTCATTTAAATTTAAAGGCGCTCAATTATGGTCCAACCAACCAGTGAACCTAACTCTAATTCTTTATTGCTGATGGCAGCACTGACCACTACCGCTGAAAAACTATAAGGTCAGGCACGTATCATGATGCTCACTTTATAAGAGTATCTCTGCCCCAAGAACAGCCATCATTAAGTTCACTCGACTCAGAGGTCAGTTCGCCACATACTGCTCGGTCTGACCCCCAGCACAAAGTTCTTATCAAGAACATTCTGGCAAATTTGTCACATCTTGTTACCCTAAGCATACATGTTGATGTGCTAGGCCAGGTGACTCTCTTTTATTTGACTAAACCATGTCCTCCCCAATTCCTAAGCATCTAAACCCGCTAAAGTACTAGTTTATTTGCATAGAGTGACTACCCTCAAATTCAATTACATTTCCAGCTTGGCAGCACAAGTTTTTACCACTGGATAAAATAACTTCCCCAAAATATCCCAAAAAGAAAAGAAAAACATATTAGCTCAATGATTTAGGGATGTGATGTCTTGAACACAAAACCACCGAACAACCTCCAGTGTATGACTATGTACAAAAAACTAGCACATGATGATACCTAGGACTTCAGTCAGAGAACCCCACAATAACACAGAGAGAGAAAGGGAAAAGTGAAATGTAAATGCACAAAAAACCTGAAATCCTAATAGGTGTACCAAGGAGAATGACATCAAGGCATCCACTATTGTGGTTCTATCATAGTACTCTCCAATATGGCCCTCAATAAAGAAAAGAAAGAAAAGAGAACATCAGACAAAAAATAAAAGGTTAAAAGATTATAAAAATTTCACAGAAGTCACCTTTTGTTCGACGCAGCATTACAGCCCTCAGAACAGCTTGAAGCTTCTTGTAACCATGAACTGAATTTCTGGAAATTGGTGCCTTTATTGTATTGCAAAATGACTTATAGGTGGCATATGGATCATATCTCAGAAATCTGAAGTAGCTGAACAGTTCATCGATTGCATTTTGTATTGGTGTTCCAGACAAACACCACCTTCTTTTCGCTCTAAGACCACAGCAGGCTCTAGCCACTTGTGTTCTGTGATTTTTTATTGTTTGAGCTTCATCTAGAACCACCCTACACCAACCCACTCTTGCAATTGTACCACAATCACAATCAAAATCAAAACTATTGATTCCTTTTCTACCCTTCTTTCCCTTCTTTCTAACAGTAGGCACCTTTTTCCGTTTCTTTTCAATAGAGAATTCAGATGATAGTCCATACTTATCCCCATTCTTTTGTTCATCATCATCCTCATCAACCAAAGGTTGTTTTGGAACTTCATTTGTCACAATGGAATATGTTGTCAAAACCACATCATACTTAGCAAGTTTAACAGGATCCTTAGTTCTGTTGCCTCCATGATACACTAGGACAGAAAGTTTAGCTTCATCTGCAACTTTCTCTTCGAGCTCCCTGGCCCATTGGCGAAGAACACTTGCGGGACAGACAACCAATGTACCTGCTGCAGGCCTCCTCCTACGGAATTCCCTTATAGAGGTACTCGCTTCTGGAATCATTTGAATGTCCTCAGATTCACCAGTCTGCATAGCTTTATCTGGAACAGCATTGGTATTATCATCATCATCATCCAAAGTCATGGCTTCAGTATTGTGATTGCACTGGTCTTCAGACTTAGATTTCAACTCTAAAGACCTCTGCATCTGTATGAGGGCAATCACCGAGATGGTCTTACCAAGGCCCTATGCAGCAGGGAAGCCAAGATTTGTATTCAGTGACATTATGTGAAAAGTAATGAATAATACTAATTAAATTTTAAAACATTACAAAATCTAATGATGCATTATGAAATTGACTAGTGGTGAATACACTTGAGCATCGGTTTCACTAAAAAAAAAAGCTTCACTGATAATTATTTTCCACTCATAGTGAGGTCAAACACCATCTATAACTTTGACAACGTGAAATAAGAGTAATTATTTTCTCCATGTATTTATTTTTACACACACAAATGCACACATATAACCAAGAAGAGCCAAAATCAACGTTATTCACAAAATCATAGTAATTTTGCTGAAATCCAACTGCAAATGTAGAAATTAATACAGTTAAAAAAGGGAAAATACTACCATCAACTCCAAAAAAAGAAATATTTAACAATTAAAAACTTGAACAAAATTAATTGGATTCCATTAATTAGAATCAATACTACCTGGACCGTGGGGTTGATTTGGTACGCTGTACAGTACTTTCTCCGGTAAGCAGGTCGATGTGTAGGCTTAATTGCTTCATTTTTTTCGGTTCATTTACAACTCTTATTCGGACCCTTATACATAGGTGCAAAGCCAATTGATAATCATTTTAAATCTATATCTATATTACTTCTAAATGTCACTATAAATGAAATTTTCTAATACCATTTAATCCTTGATTAATGCTACAAAGTCAATTTTAACATTGATCTAATAGCTATCAAAAAAAAATTCAACATGCAGTGAAGTAAAAAGTCAATAAGATGGACTTAGATCCACTAAGCGTCTTTTTAACAGATTCCTTAAATTATACATTAATTCCACCATGAATACATCATTAGTAACTCATTTGGAAGATGAAAATTTTCAATTCTTTTATATTCTATCTTTCTTTAACGGTTAGCAATTTGATGGGACCGTGTTGAAGTTGAATAGATATTATAGATCTATTAAGAGTTATTTGGATATTATTTAGTATTTATCATTTTTAGGAATTTCTTTTAATTTTTAAGGACTTATTTGTCCTTTTGACTATGTATTTGTTTTAGGGTTTTGTATTCTCTATATATAGGAGGTAAGGTGCTTGTTTGAGATGAGACTTATTGAATATTATTAAGGCTGCATTTGCCCAAATCTCCTTGTTCCCTTCTCATCCCCTTTTTTCTCATTCTTCTATTTCTCATCCCTTTCTTCTCTTCTCATCTCCTTTCTTCTTTTGTTCTTATATCCATTATATTTTCCTTAATCTATATCACGTATCAAAGTTATTATGATCTACATCAATTGATATCATTGCCTAAACTCAATCCGACACCACCCCAAAGAAAAATCATCAATCGGTACCAATTCGTAGCATAGCCTAAACTCAACTTCAACACGGTCCCCATCAGTCACTCATGACTACCTATGAGCTATATGATGCCTCCAATTCATACATTTACTCCACCTCAAGAGTTTCTCCTCGAGGTCATCACCATGGTAAGTCTAGTTACATCTACAAGGACTCAACACCCATGGCCAAATCAGTCAAAGATCGTTCTACATTGAGTGGTGCTTGTGCTCCAAATCGTGGTGAATTCTTGGATTGGATAGGTAATTTAGAAGCATATTTTGATTGGCATGGTTTGTTAGGTTCCCATTCCGTTCATTTTGCTAAATTAATGTTGGAGGGTTCTGCCAAGCATTATAGGCAAGGAATTCAAAGAAACCTAGAACATTTGGGAGAACCACCGGTTACTTGGGTCGAAATGAAACAAAAATTGCAAGAGAAATATCTACCCACTTCCTACATGTGTCAAATTTATGAACAATGGATCAATCTACAACAATCCTTATCTAGTGTCACTGATTATTTTGCTCAGTTTGATTATGTGATGAACTTTGTGACATTAACGAGGAATCTTGGACTATTGATCAGCTCATTCTTGGGTTGAGACCAAAAATCAATAGGGATGTTAAACTGTACTCTTTTGACATGCTAGATAAGGCCTATCGATATACTCTAAAGGTTCAAAGATTTCATAGGAAATCTAATAGGAGCTTGATGAGTTCTCAATCACACTATTCTAAACAATTGGACAAGACACCTTTAAATTTTAACTCCATCATCTGAGTATCATGATTACTTGAATGATGTCCATGTTGTTTCTGCATGTTTTCCTAATTCTAGTTTGACCATGGATCTTGATGGAACACTCTCACATAAAGAGAAAGATGTTCCACATGTCGACTACCAATCCCCTTGTCCAGTTTCATCGAATCAGAGTTCACCTTCTTCATACCAATTGGAGTCAATACCATAAGAAAATGAGTTTGAGCCTTTGCATGAGTCAAATGTTGAGTCACCACTTGAAATGGAACTTGCTAAAAAGTCTGTCGAGTCCATACCTATGCAAGATGTCCAACATATTGAGTTACCTATTTCAGAATCTTTTGGTGATTGTTTTGTGTCTATTATTCCAAGTCAACCTAACTTTATTCCCAAGTCTTTTCTACCTGAGATTATTGACTTTGTTCCAGTTGCTTCCCCATCTGAGATTGTTGACTTTGTTTCTACTATCAAGATTTCACTTAAGTCTGTATTTAATTATTTTCAACACCAGGGCATTATTGTTGCTCCTTTGTCATCGATGTCTTGTCCCACTTAATACTTATTGCTGAAATTTGATGGAAATTGCTTTGTTATTCTTGATTTTGGATTTAATGTTTATTTGTTTAATTTTTTCTTGAATGTTAGTATTAGTTCAAATTTTTATTTGGAGGTTAATCAAGATATTCTTGAGCCTCCTATTTAATTAGCAGGTGTGCCTACAAGTGAAATTGCTTCTTCCACTATCTCCGATTCTTATCTCTTCACTTCCATCGCACATTTTCATATAAAAAGATGATGGGCCGTAGGTGCAACTTTTCAGAGCTTTAGATGGATAATGTCACCGGTATCTTACTCGATGGACAACAATAGATACTTCTTTTAGTATAGAGGAGTTCTACCATCTTGATTATTCGCTCTTGGACTATTTTGGTTTTGATGACACTCAGGATGAGAGTTTTTCTCAATCGAAGGAGAATGATGGGAATCGTATTAGAGTTAGATAGATATTATAGATCTATTATGAGAGTTATTTGGATATTATTTAGCACTTTTTAGGAATTGTTTTTAATTTTTAAGGACTTATTTGTCCTCTTGATTATGTATTTGTTTTAGGGTTTTGCATTCCCTACATAAGGCGTAAGGTGCTTGTTTGAGACTTAACACATTGAATATTATTGAGGTTGTGTTTGCCCAAATCCCCTTGTACCTTTCTCATCCCCTTTCTTCTCATTCTTCTAATTCTCATCTCCCTTTTCTCTTCTCATCTCATCTCCTTTCTTCTTTTGTTCTCATCCCCATTATGTTCTCCTTAATCTACATCAAACATTAAAGTTATTTTGATCTACATCACAATAGCAACATCAAAGTTTATTCTATAATGAATACATATGAAGAATTTTTGGTCTTTTATATTCTACTATTCTTTAACCTTCAACAATTGAAACATAAAAATTCTCAGATATTTAAGGTTCCCTCAATATTTAGATGTTCAAACTATTAAGCACAACTTCCGTTCGAATGTCCCTGCTAGGGATGCTCCAACCAATGGCTTCTCAAGTCTTGTTAGCCCATAAAGATTTAGTGTGGTGGACCTCTTTCATTCCTCATTGGCAATTTCTCAAGTATTTTCAGTTTTGGGTATTTAAATGTTAAAAATTGACGTTGGTCATGGGACAAAATTAAGAAATACTAGAAACACGGTGGGAAAATTATGAATNCCACTTGAAATGGAACTTGCTAAAAAGTCTGTCGAGTCCATACCTATGCAAGATGTCCAACATATTGAGTTACCTATTTCAGAATCTTTTGGTGATTGTTTTGTGTCTATTATTCCAAGTCAACCTAACTTTATTCCCAAGTCTTTTCTACCTGAGATTATTGACTTTGTTCCAGTTGCTTCCCCATCTGAGATTGTTGACTTTGTTTCTACTATCAAGATTTCACTTAAGTCTGTATTTAATTATTTTCAACACCAGGGCATTATTGTTGCTCCTTTGTCATCGATGTCTTGTCCCACTTAATACTTATTGCTGAAATTTGATGGAAATTGCTTTGTTATTCTTGATTTTGGATTTAATGTTTATTTGTTTAATTTTTTCTTGAATGTTAGTATTAGTTCAAATTTTTATTTGGAGGTTAATCAAGATATTCTTGAGCCTCCTATTTAATTAGCAGGTGTGCCTACAAGTGAAATTGCTTCTTCCACTATCTCCGATTCTTATCTCTTCACTTCCATCGCACATTTTCATATAAAAAGATGATGGGCCGTAGGTGCAACTTTTCAGAGCTTTAGATGGATAATGTCACCGGTATCTTACTCGATGGACAACAATAGATACTTCTTTTAGTATAGAGGAGTTCTACCATCTTGATTATTCGCTCTTGGACTATTTTGGTTTTGATGACACTCAGGATGAGAGTTTTTCTCAATCGAAGGAGAATGATGGGAATCGTATTAGAGTTAGATAGATATTATAGATCTATTATGAGAGTTATTTGGATATTATTTAGCACTTTTTAGGAATTGTTTTTAATTTTTAAGGACTTATTTGTCCTCTTGATTATGTATTTGTTTTAGGGTTTTGCATTCCCTACATAAGGCGTAAGGTGCTTGTTTGAGACTTAACACATTGAATATTATTGAGGTTGTGTTTGCCCAAATCCCCTTGTACCTTTCTCATCCCCTTTCTTCTCATTCTTCTAATTCTCATCTCCCTTTTCTCTTCTCATCTCATCTCCTTTCTTCTTTTGTTCTCATCCCCATTATGTTCTCCTTAATCTACATCAAACATTAAAGTTATTTTGATCTACATCACAATAGCAACATCAAAGTTTATTCTATAATGAATACATATGAAGAATTTTTGGTCTTTTATATTCTACTATTCTTTAACCTTCAACAATTGAAACATAAAAATTCTCAGATATTTAAGGTTCCCTCAATATTTAGATGTTCAAACTATTAAGCACAACTTCCGTTCGAATGTCCCTGCTAGGGATGCTCCAACCAATGGCTTCTCAAGTCTTGTTAGCCCATAAAGATTTAGTGTGGTGGACCTCTTTCATTCCTCATTGGCAATTTCTCAAGTATTTTCAGTTTTGGGTATTTAAATGTTAAAAATTGACGTTGGTCATGGGACAAAATTAAGAAATACTAGAAACACGGTGGGAAAATTATGAATTTCGATAATAAAAATTTAAGGTTTGATTAGGAGATTGATAAAGTGTGAGCTCACCCCCCATAGTTTGTGTTTCAGAAAGCTAAGCAGAAAGGGATGTCCACTGTTGA